TCCCCCCCCCACAATAATTTTTTTACCCCTCGGTTGATGGGTCTTAGCGTCCAGGTGATTATTCACAACCCGCTACGCCCAGATGACAAAATTTTCGAGTATTTCGGTTTTCCCGCTACAAAAATCATTGGCTTCCGTGACTTTGTCACACAGTTCCATTGAGTTGGAGCTCGTTTGTAGACTTTCCCAGTTCTGCTACAATATTCGAGGAAAGGGGATCTGCCTACTAGAAAGCGCAAAAGAGAACTGGATAACTAAAAAGCGAAGCTCTTTACAAGAAAATTAGGGAGGGAGATAAATTTGCAAATATTTTAGTTTTCCCGCTACAGAACTCGTCGGCTTCCGTGGCTCTGTCACGCACTTCCATTGAATCAGAGGTCGTTCGTAAACCTTTCCCAGATAGGCCACAATATTCGAGGAAAGGGGATGTGACTGCTGGCAAGCGAACCTCGTGGTGCAAAACAGGGCGGGATGATGGGAAAGCGAAACTCTTTACAAATAAACAGGCGGGCGACAAAATTTGGAAATATTTAGGTTTCCTCTCTTCAAAACTGCCCCAGCTTCTGTGCGTTTTTTGCGCACTTCCAATGATGTAAAGGTCGTTGCGACATCTGTGTACTTGCAACTCTGGAGTGCTTTCTTAGGGGGTTTGTACGTGTTTCTTCTTGAGTTTTGTCCCTCCCTTTTGCGACTTATATGACCGCGAGCTAAGCGACTTCTGTGTTAGGGCAACATGAACACGACGGGACCACCGCGCACCTCCTTAGAGAGAAGACAACGCATCTCCTCAACTTGAGAGAAATATAGATATGATGAAGAAGATGACATGAGCATTACATTTCATGGCGCTATCGACTTCTCCATCGCCTCACCTCAAGGAGAACACTGCTGAGGACTCAACCCTTCCACTCATACGTCTCTTCAACTTGTCTTCTTTTCGACAAACCTCGCTGGGATAGGACTGTTATTTTAGAAGGGATTCTTCCTCAAGTTTTTTTTTCCCCCCAAGGGGTGGGTTATATAGCTGGCTCTGCGAGCAGCTATAATGAACGTTATTTAAAAGACAAGGAATGGCAGGCTATGTAGGGAAAAATAATACTGAGACAGCATCGTTCTCCAGATGGTGGTTGGAATATAGGAGCGATGATTTGGGCAGATTGGAGGAAGTACAAGAAGTTGTTTAGCACCTGGGGGAGGGACGGGAGTTGGTGTCAAGAAACAAGAAACGGGGGGTCATTTTATCCCCATGGCTTCTGGGTCCGAGGCCCCCTTAAATGTTGCAACATACCAAATGTACTCGAACCCTTACATATCACTCCGATCCATCCTCCTCCTGATCAGTATTAAACCACCAGTACCTGGCCCAGCTATCGAGTCCGAGCCTCGGCCGACAGGTACGCCGATTCGTGCCGAGTCTCGGACTACCAGCCATCCCGAACGTGCAACGTACAGAACGGAAAAAACGGGCAAAAAAAACAAAAAAAAACGAAGAAATAAGAAAAACGAATGATTCATCTTCCCGCCATCGTTTCGAGAAACGAAACGGGAATGCATCTTCCTGCTTTCGCGGGAACATGCATTCCCGTTTCTTTTCTCGAAAAGAGAGAGAGAGAGAGAGAGGCGACCACCTTCACGGAAGGTCGCGGCGAACTCGCTGCCCCCC